TACATATTGGACACCCCTACGTAAATGGGATGTTTCTTCCATTACTTTTTATTTAAAAAAAAAACTATATTCTGAATTAATGTATAGTTGACTTCAAGAGATTAAATTAAAATTGCAATCTCACAAAAAGTCTTTCTTGCATTTTAATAATAATGTTGTTTCATCGAATGATAATTCGTCATCGTAAGGCAAAGGCTGACCAATTCTACGAGATAATTTTTGCTCAACAATAAATGTGTTTTGTATTGTCAAATATTTACACTTTAGAGTGATTTTAAGGGAGATGTATCTAATAAAAATAAAATTTGGTGGAAAGAGAAAAGAATGAATCAAGTTGTATCTTATAATGATTGGACTAATTATAGAGGGTATTTAGCTAAATTAATTAATTTATAAGATGATCAAATTAATTTAAGCAATTTTTTAAGTTTACTGATGCATTTGTTAAAAGTGCTTATAAACCAAATGCTTATAAGTTAAAATTAATGTTCAGCTTATAATCACTTCTAGTTTGATTAATTATTTTTTGGGGGAATTTTCGCATATAGTCACTCAAAAATAACTTAATTGTGCTTCATAATTATAATTTACTAATTATGATTTGTAGCTACATGTTAGAGAGAGGAGAGAGAGATTGAGAAAGGCGAGCAAGATTAGGAGAGGGAGGAGAGAGACGAGCAATAGAGGGCAGAGAGACAAATTGTATATGTATATATGTCGAATTGTTTATGTATATCTGTCAAAATAATTGTATATATGTAATTGAAATACATATGTATTTGTATATCTGGCGAGTGAGATTGGGAGAGGGAGGAGAGAGGTGAGCGAGATTGAGAAAGAGAGGAGAGAGGTCAGTGAGAGAGGGCAGAGAGTGGAGAGAGGCAAACTATATATGTATATCTGTCAGATAAATTGGAGTCCGGAGCCAAAAGGGCAAAAAAATTATCAAAAATTCCAAAAGGGCACATCAATTTTTTTTAAAACCAAAAGGACAAAATCGCTCCTGACGAGGCGATTACCCTCTGACACAATGCGATTTTGTAATAAATTTTTTTTTATTAAAAATCGCATTGTGTCAGAGGGTAATCGCTTCGTTAGGAGCGATTTTGCCCTTTAGATTTAAAAAAATTTTGATGTGCCCTTTGAAATTTTTGACAATTTTTTTTGCCCTTTTGGCTCCGGACTCAGATAAATTGTATATATGTAATTGATATATATATATGTATTTGTATATCTCACGAGAGAGATTGAGAGAGGCGAGCGAGATTGAGAGAGAGTGGAGAGAGGCCAACAAAAAATGACAGAGAGTGGAGAGAAGCTAATTGTATTTGTATATCTATCATATAATTGTATATTTATATGTACAATTTTTATTTGATAATTTGTATTTGTATATGTAAAAAAGAGGAGGGAGGCGAGATAGAGAGGAGAGAAACAACGTAAATATAGCTAAAATTAATTGTGATCCGTAATTACTTCAAACTAAAGCTATATTAGCTAATTAACTAGTATATGTTTACTTATCCGCGTAATTTTCCCTTTCTTTTTTACCATTTTTCTAGGTTTTTTTTTCTTTTCAATACGTTTCTTAAAACAAAACGCTAACTTTCTCTTCATTCTGTATTTGTTGTTCTTTTTTTTTCATACTTATAAATTAAATTATTTTTTTATCAAACGGCTGGTTATTATTAGGGTGTTCACGGTTTGGATAAATCAATCTAAATCGAAAAATCGAATCAAACCGATTAAATAAATCAATTTTATTTGGGTTTAAAAATTTTAAAACCGATATTTGATTTTGTTTTTAAAAAATGGAAGAAATAATCGAACCGAACCGATAAATTATATACATATATTTTATTTTTATACATGCATAACATATTATTTTTATAAGCAAATTTAAATATCTTATATTATATGTTTTCATAAAAAAATATTTATAATTTATTTATGAAAACAAAAATGTCCAAGGCGAGAACATTAATCTTATTGATTTCATGTATATGAGTGTCTATGATAATTTTTTGTGGACTAAGAATGTCACTGTCTCTTCCTTCTAGGCCAAAATGGTTAATTTTGAAGCTTTATTCACAATAAAACAGTGATCGAAAGTTCTGTAATGTTGGTTGTTCTAGCTATTTTTCGTTTTGAATATGAACTGTTGTCTTTTTTCCCTCTTTTGAATGATTTTTTTTAAAATTTTTTTTGTGTATGATTAATAACCAAATAATCGAACCGAAACTGATAACAACCAAACCGATAAATGTATATTATATTTGATTTGGTTTGGTTTTGATGATTTAAAAATCGATTAAATTAGTTTTGACCAATAATCGATCCAAACCGATTTGTGAACAACCCTAGTTATTATTAGTTTTAACAATTCCCATACTTATTTAAACACTGTTTATTTATAAAATCAATTTCAATAGTTTTAAAGTATTTTTTTAGCTCTTAAAACTTATCAGGTGTTTATAAAGTCAGCTGACCCAAACGGGGTGTAAGATTATTATTTTTAATTTGAAAAGTAGTTCCTCAATTTTCAAAGTTCATGAATGAAGTAACAATTGGAGTTTTAAATGTTGAACACATGATGCATAATTGGTTGACAATAATTTTTCCAATATTTGCACTATGGTCAAAGATTGCTTTCATTTCTAAAGATTGTTGTCTTTAGTGTGAAACAGATTATTATAGCACAAAATAGGGAATGTTGTCGCCTAATAACATCATAGAGAAAATTAAAAGACAGTGCAAAACACATGGCTATGTAACAATTTACACATGGAAAAACAACAGAACATGAATTTTGACCAAGAGTTAAAAAGTAAAATCTTTTGTTATAATTAGGGAAAAGGGTCTGAAAAATACTTTAACTTTGGCCGAAATTATTGTTACGATATCAAACTTTATGGAGGACCTTTTACCCTTGCACTATTTAATAGTGTATTTTAAAGATATATATATATATGTGTGTGTGTGTGTGTGTGTGTCCACATGGACATGTTACTATTTATAATTATGTAATATTTATGATGTCCATGTGGGCACATATATACCTTTAAAATACACTATTAAATAGTGTAGGGGTAAAAGGTCCTTTTCAAAATTCGTATCGTAACAATAATTTCGACCAAAATTCGGATATATTTCAGACTTTTTCCCTTATAATTATAATTGAATAATTACTATTATTTCACTTTATTCCCCTCTTCTTTAAATAATTGTTTCCTATTTTATTCACTTTAAAGAAGTATAATTTTGACTTGTAATCATCAATAATATCGAGATGTAACTTGTGGGGGGGTGGGTTCAACATCGAGTAAATTTTTTTGAAGTGGGACGGGTCTGATTCTATTATTATGTAAAATAAAATGAATCTCAAACCTAAAGCAATGTCGAAAGCTAGTTTATAAAAATAAGAACCACTCAAAATCATATAAGGAGATTAAACATCCATCCAAGACCGACCTGGAATAATCAACGTACACGGTACAACTATAAACATTTAGTTGAATGGATTCACTTCTTTTTAAAAAAAGTTCACCCTTCATAGCAAAATTATTAGTAAAGGTGTTTAGCTTTTCGAATATAGTGTTCTTTTTTCTTTTTTTCTTTCTTAGGGCAAATGATAATACTTCCCAATTAGTCTTTTTTTATTTTATTCAGTAAGACGTGCTGAACATCAAACCATGAGCTTTGACGATTGTACCATATACTTTAAGGAAAAATAATTGATTTTATATTAGAATTCCCTTCTTGATCAAGACAACCCCATGATTGCATAAAAGAACATAAATATTAAATTTGTCTTCCCACGTAGTGGAAAGAAAAAACATTTTTTTAGTAACTTTAACTTACTTTACAAGAATGGAAGTTTGGTATAGTGTTGAGGAATACTATACAAACATTCTTTATATATATTATATTTAATAGTAACATATATGAATAATATAATGCAAAATGAAGCACTAATCATTTCAATAGTATCTGTCGACAGATAATTTGCTTCAAAAATCCGTTAGATGAAACTGAAAGGCTTATTATTTTGAACGTTATTTTCATTCTTCATGCAACAAACAACTCAAATTAAAGACTTGTAGAAGATTAATTAAATTTGAGTTAAAATAAAGATTCAAAGTAGACATAGACACGCGTACCTTAATATAACATATTAAGTTACCATCACACAATTTAGAAAATGTGTACAACAATTGTAGTACTTTATGTTATTTGTGAATATATTGTACATGTACTCTTCCTTTTCTTTGAAAATTTAGACTTAAGGTGCAAGTGAGAAGTTGAAAGAAAAGAGAAATGAAAACTTCTGTGGGTGGTAATGGTGATGATGAAAGTGATATTTTGTGGGGTTGTGTTTTTTTTTTTTTTTAAAAAATCATTTATAAAATATTATTAATTGTGAGAATTAAATAAAAAATAAAGAGGCAAATTAGTTGGTTAAAGAAAACAATTATAGGTGGAGTGGAAAACGGATTGAGAGGGACGTTCCTTTGGGCCAGGGGCGGAGCTAATAGCCTGCAAGCAAGTTCGGGTTGAATTCAGTAGATTTGTTCAGACAGTGTATTTATGTTGATAAATTCATTAAATATATACACATATTTAAATTTAAAACTCAGTTATTATCAATCAAATGAAAATCGTATTATAAAATTCAGAACTCATAAAGTTGAAATTCTGATTTCGCGGTTTGAGAGAGAGAGAGAGAGAGTGATGGTTGGTCTTCTTGTCTTTGACTCTATCTAGTCTCTTTCGTTGCATTTTTCTTCACTCACAAGGTAATCATCATATGTGTATGAGAAATGGAACACATTTTGCTTCCACTTCACATAATCTTTTTTATATTTTTTTCCTTCTCTTTCTTATTATTCCATTCTATATATCTTCTTCATATCTTTTCACCATCAAAGCCTAGCAAAACATATCATATATTTTTTTCTCCTCATCATCATCTTCTTAGGGTTTTTAAGTCTTTGTTATCGATGAGGAAGCCGGAACATAATAATACAACGATGAAGGAGAAGGAGAAAGTGAATAAATTAGGGAAATTAAGAAAAGGCTTATGGTCACCAGAAGAAGATGAGAAGTTGATGAGTTACATGTTAACAAATGGTCAAGGATGTTGGAGTGACATTGCTAGAAATGCTGGATTACAAAGATGTGGTAAGAGTTGTCGTCTTCGATGGATTAATTACTTGAGGCCTGACCTTAAACGCGGCGCCTTTTCTCTTCAAGAAGAAGAACTCATTGTTCATTTGCATTCTATTCTGGGAAATAGGTACACATATACACTCTTTCACATTTTCTACTTTCTATCAAGTAGTATATTTTGGAGCCATGTTGGTTTTACCGTGAATGAAATGAGTGAAAATCATGAGAAGTTAGGGTTCAAATTTCAGTACACACGAAAATATTAGTAGTACTTATCTTTTTGTATTTGTATTGGTGGTCAAAGTTAACCAATAATCATGCTAGCTAGACACTATTGATATTGAGAAGAAGAGATCGATCAAGAGAGTATGAGGGTGTTAATGGAACTAAAATGTGAATAGGTTTTTTTTTTTTTTTTTATCATCTAGCTTGAAATTAGATATTGATTTTAATATAACTAAACCGCGATATTTTTTGACTTTTATAACGAGACATTGCTATAAAGAACATATAATTATACAACTCATTTTTAGTAAAATGATAGAGGATGGTGTACATATATATGACACTTGCATATGATCTTCTATGCATTAAATATACTAAGGGGTATAGTTTTTTTAAAATTATTGGTTGACTTATGGTTAACCTACTTTATGCCTACACACACAAAATAAAAATCCTCTTTCAACACTAAATCTCAAGCTCTGAGAAGGATAATTTTACTTTACTCTACAACTCCTAATTGTCATGTTTAATTAGTCCTTTTTCACCATTTTCTCTTATGTTAGGGCATTATATTATACAAACCCCATTTACTGTTAAATCTTAAGCCATTCTATTAATAGCTTTGACTCAAACTTCGTATATGTATAATTTTTTACTAATAAGTAATATAATTGACTCCAACCCCAGAGTCCAAGCACTTGTACTTAATTTTTTTCAGTATTTCCGATTTCAAGTAGGAGATTTATGAATTAAAAAAATCTGAAGGGAAAATTAGATAATTAAATAGGGAGAGAAGTTCATTAAGTAAAAGAAAACTAAAAATGACTATCTACTGTCATATATAATTAATTTATTTCAGGAACTATATAATTAATCCGTTATTTAGTTAGTCAATTTGATTTTCCTCCAACACTTGTAGGCCGTAGCAGGGAAACAATTTCAATTTTCAAACAAATATTATTTGTTAATGAAACTAACATAATGCATGCAAATCCATGATGTACTTTATTTCCATTACTTTAAACCTTATATATTTTGCTTATATTATAGGTGGTCACAAATTGCAGCTCGTCTTCCAGGGAGGACAGATAATGAAATCAAGAATTTCTGGAATTCCACGATTAAAAAGAGACTGAAAAACAACAATAACAACAACAACAACAACAACAGTAACAACAGCACGCCATCGCCTAACACGAGTGATTCTTCGATGGGAGGAATATTTCCAATGCAAGGGCACGATGTAAATGTTATGGCAGCGTTATGCATGGATAATTCGTCGTCTACTACTTCAGGATCATCCATGCAAGCCATGGTACCTAGCAACCATTTCAACCCTTTCCCTCAGCTTGATAATACAAGTTACGATATATCTGGATTAGTCGGGCCAGTGAATTTAGGTCAATTTGGTTGTAGTAGAGGTGATGCTGGATTTTTGGACTATGGAGTTGTGGAAACTTATAGTATGATGGGGTTAGGAAGTGATGAATTTTCAATACCTTCTTTAGAGGGTGTTAATAATAAGAGTACTACTACTATGGGAGAGAATAATAATAACAATAATAGTGATGTTGATTTTAGTAGTAATAACATTGTTAGTGGTGCCAATGACTATGATTCCATGATTGAGAAGAAAATTACAAATGGTAACAACAACAACAACAACAACAACCAACACTTGATGAATATGAGTGGAAGTAGTGATCAAAGCCTAAAGGTTGAAGACTATATGGTTGGTTTTGGGAATCATCATCATTGGCATGGAGAAAGCTTAAGAATTGGAGAATTTGATTGGGAAGGTTTGTTGGCAAATGTTTCCTCTTTACCTTACCTTGATTTTCAAGTTGAATAACTACTCTCTCCAACCCTTTCAACCCCACATATACCCCCACAAAATGACACAAATACCCCTCTTCTCAATATTTCTTTCTTTTTTTGATAATTGCACATTTAAATTCAGAAGACCAGTAATGAAGCAAAATTCGAAATTCAGTGAATAATAGGTCTGTCGAGACTTTTATCTTCCTTCCCATATCTTCTTCTTCTTCCTTCAATTCATTATACATAAATTGTCCCCCTCCTCAATTCTCCACAACTTCATCTTAGAGAAAATTTTGAGATATACTTCTTTTCTTTATTTGCAATTATCTAATACTTCCACTAGATTTTCTTTTTGTTTACCATTTCCTTTTTTTTTTCTTTGAATCGTACATTGAGGAATATTATGGGGATTCTAGGGGAGAAATAATAATCTTTCTCATCAAGAATTGAGCAAAGTGTGAATAGAAAAATGAGCAAAGTACAGATCGATCATATAGAAGATTATGAAGAGAAAGTAAATAAAAAGGTCAAAATTGTTGATTTGTAAGCAGTATTTGTGTACAGATGTGGATCAATTTAATCAATCAATAATCTTTTGAATTTTAAGAGAATTTTAGTCAGTTACATGTTTCTCAGAAATATAGATAGAAAAAATTGTTGTACGTACTTTGTATTTACAAAGGAATAAGAAGCATTGTTAGTTTTTTCATATGATCAATATTTCAATACTTTTAATCCCCCTATATATACCCTCCTTCTCTCTCAAAATTGCTTATATAATATGGTTTTGTGTTTTATGCGTAGAAATTAAACTCATATAGTCATATATACAATATTTAATTTTGAATTCATGTTGTATGCATTGATAGAATAAATATTTTTTTATTATATATCCGGTTAAAATTGACATTCAACAACATATCAAACCTAGATATGATAAAATAAATAATAAATTAATAAGCTACTATTTGTAATGGACTAAATCATAATAATTGTGTATAGTTTTTTTTACGCTATCATTATATATGATTTAACTTTTTCGACACTTAATTTGATGATGGGAAATTAAATTAAGTTGGATCAATTTGTAGGTGGAACGATTTTATTTTCTTTAACAAAGCTCATTAAACATTTTGTTCGTCGCTTAATCTTGACCATTACTACTAATAAAAGTTGCAACAAAATTGCCTCCCAAGCTGAGCGAGCTGCCTATGAAATCTTTTATATATATATATCAATTCCCAGGATTGCGATCATAACGATGTATATATAAATCATGTAGAAGCACAACAAAAGGTGGGACTTCCGCCTTACCCCAAAAGTATATATACATCAGAGCGAGATTGCCGAGTAATCCTAAAAAAAGGAGAATGTTTAATTATGTCACTGCTTAATATTTCTGCATATACTAACCAAAAATTGGTTTTATCGTATCTTATTCTTATGCTAGGTAATCGCATCTTGTCTAGAAATTAGAAAATAAAGAAATTGCGATCTCAGTATATTTTAGGACTATAGATGATATATATACTGAAATTTGATATTGCATTAAATGAATTCATATAGTTGGAATTGTGTAAAGAACCTAATAACTGCTAGAGATCATAAATTAGTTTTAATCTAATTTTGATCTTAATATAAAAATATAGTGTTTGGGAACTTACCTCATGTTGAAGAAGAAGGAAGCTGACGATTGGAACAAGTCCAACGAAGCTGACTGACGAGTTTACAACACTGCTAGGATTAGACTACTTATATTAATTAGGATTATATTACGACTATAATTATATTATGATTAGGATTATATTACGACTAGGATTAGATTATTTATAATTGCATTATTATTATTATTAGGGATAATGGTCTGAAAAATACCTCAACTTTGGTCGAATTTGTTGTTGCGATACTAAACTTTCATGAGGACCTATTACCTCCCTGGACTATTTAATAGTATACTTTTTACCCCCTGAACTATTTAATAGTGTATTTTAAAGGTATATATGTGCCCACGTGAACACATTACAATTTATAATTTTGCATTATTTTTTATGTCCACGTGGGCAAATATATATGTTTAAAATACGGTATTAAATAGTCTAGGGAGGTAATAGCTAGTCCTCATGGAAGTTTAGTATCGCAACAGCAAATTCGACCAAAGTGGAGGTATTTTTTAGACCCTTATCCCTTATTATTATAGTAGTAATATGTATTGTAGTAGGACTCTAAGTATAGTTAACTTAAGACTCTACAATTCTCTCCCTATATAAGGAGGTTGTAACTCAACCTTATTTTCATCAATACAATCCTTGATTTCTCTAATCCTAGACGTGAGATTTCTACACCTCATAGTTGCTTAAACTTTCATCTGATTCAAACCACTAAACCTGAGTTATTTTCATGGCACTTCTTCTACACTGACTTGCATTATGGTAGCATCATTAGGTGTGAATATATGCATGAGGTAATTAGGTCAATACCAAATAAATTATTATATTCGTTGAAAAATGTTTAATGGTTATTTCTACAAATATTTTTATTGAATCGGCAGAAAAAATATATATATTAATGTTTTCATATAGGAAAAATAAGATGCATGTTTTCTACTATTTTAGTGAGAAATTATTTCCTACCAATCTTCATACATTTTTCATTAAGTTGGTTAAAAAAAAAAATGAGTAGGAAAATCATGTTCTACATCATAAATTTCTCACTTATTCGCGTAGAAAGAACTTTATTCCTAGTAGTGGGTGACCTAAGGTCAATTAATAATACTTCTTTGTTTCAACTTGAATCTCTTTCTTTTCTTTTTAGTCGTTTTTAAAAAAAAAAGACTTTTTCTTGTTTTAAAAATTCTATAATCTGAACTTTTCATATGACATGCTTTAGATTACAAGACCAAATAATATTGTTATCCATTCGATATTGTTTTTGTCTAAGACCAGGGGCGGCTCAACATAATTCGAGGCCTAAAACAAACTTTTAATTAGAGGCCTAAAATCTAAATAAACTTTCTTTGTATTTATTTATTTTTCTAAATTTTTAGATGTAAATTACTACTAAATATCTTTTATATAAATAATTTTTTTCAAATACTTTTTTCAATTATTATTTTAGGTAAGATTTTATCAATTCAACATTGAAAAACATCCTTTTATTAAGATAATTATTATATGAATTATGAACATAATTCTATAAGTAATAAGTTGATAAACTTTAAAGATAAGAGTTAGAATCATAGAATCTGATTCAAAAAGCTGATAACTTTGTATGCCTACTTTAATATGAAAATTTACGAAGAAATAAAAAATGAATTTGTAATTTACTTTGTTCAACACTTTTCGACTATTGATTCATATTTTTGAGAGTGTATTACTCTAACTATCAAAGATTTGAAAAAATAGAGTGCAAAAAAGAGTTAAAAAATAATAAATAATGTGAGTGTTAGCGAAAAAAATGTAAGAGTCCAGAACAATGTTTTCTTGATTTCTTCTATTTTAATGGAATTAAAATACATAATTTTTTATTTGTAGAAATTTGAGGCCCCCAAAAACAGGGGGCCTAAGGCCAATGCCTTAAATTTTATACACAAGAGCCGCCCCTGTCTAAGACCATAAGATTTGATTTTTTTTTTCTTCTTAAATTTCGCATAAAGTCAAAACCAAATAAAAAATTAAATCAAAATGGAGGAAATGGTTAAATCACGGTTTCTTCGTGCAAGTTTGTCTACTAGTAGTCTAGAACTTATACTATTTATATCTATCTATCTACGACGAGCTATAAAGTCTAGAAACTATAAGTATGTCTTATGAAATCATTATTATTTGACTTTGAAGTACATTTACTTTGGACAATTAGACCAATAATATAAAGTATTTTTCATTCTTAATTAAAATTTTCGGCTTGAGTCTCTTTAGATATGGAGTTACTTTCTTTAAGGAGTACTTTACCTCTCCCTCCCAATATAACCTCAGTGCTTGTATCAAATATCGGGATGGAGAATTAAAAAATAACTAGTAATTGTATCACTAACACTACAACAAAAACACTTTTTAGCGGCAATAAATATATACAATAACAAAAGGGCTAAAGTCTTTACTTAAATTTATATTAGAGAATCAGAAGGAAAAATGATTAAAACGTCGCCTGAGAGATTCGAACTCTCGCGGGGAAACCCCATGTACTTAGCAGGCACACGCCTTAACCACTCGGCCAAAGCGACGCTTATTGTGAAAATTCAAAATGGATTATAACTATAAATAAATTTAAAATCACACTTCAAATATCCAATAATAAAGTAGAGCTTTAAGGCCCAACATTCTTGAACGGCCCGTTCTTGAAAATAAGAACAAACACAAAAAAGAATATAAGCCCATTTTGATTGGGTTTACTAGGCCCAGCAATCACATAGGCCATAGCCCTAAATACAGTCAGTATATGCAAAGTTATTTTAAAAAGTAGGGAAATTTTTCAAAAGAGCAATATTTTAGCTTTAAGTGGGACTTCTTAGCAACAGTTTCATTATTTATTAAAAATGTCATTATTTTAGTTTATTAAGGGATTAGTTATGTATTTATTTTATTTTGATTAATTTGAAAGAATACAAATAATTAATAACAGAACAGAGAAAATCATGGAACAAAAAAAATCAAAAAAGGTAAAAAACATTTTAAATACCAATCAGTTACGTTTTGAAAAGAGCATAAATAGTCATCTTTCCATCGAGCGCTTTTTTGCTTTCTTCTTAAGAACATCAAAAAATAAAATTAAAATAATTTAGTTTGTCTTCCGAATCATTCATCTGATAACTTTCAAAACCTCTTACAGTTGAATACGACATATTTTTGAAACATAATTTTTCAAATTTGACAACTATAAATTTGTCGCATCCAGTGAACAATCGAAAAACAATCAGGTATTTTTTTCGATTTTTTTATTTGTTTGGATGAGATATTCGTATATGTCGAGTACAAGAGTGTTACTTTTTTTCCTGATTGAATCAGTGAAATCTTTGTATGCATTGGGATTTATAGCTTTTTCGGATGTTTTGTATCCAAATTATGATGTATAACGAATGAAATTGTTTTTTTTTAGTTTAGTAGTTGTTTTTTTT